GTGTAGACACTAATGCAGTGTATCTAATGATTAGACTAAAATTACCAATATCAAAATTACTGACTGAAGGTTTCACCAATATATTTTTGTAAAAGATAAATACTGTAGAGTCTCTCACAAACTTGACTTAATGTGGACTGAGAAGGTGATGAGTTACCAAAAATGATTAGTTTTGCAGTGTAGCAATGATTCTAGTCTAAATAGTGGATTTTTTGTAAAGGTGTTATAGGTGCAAATTCATATACATTTTAACCAAATATCAAAAGTAAATATCTTTATTTGTACTTAGCCAATATTTTTTAAAATGAAAATTTCTTTTATGGCTGTTTTCAAGTTAGTGACATCTGTGTCATGGTGTTTTGCAGAGGAATCTTGGAAAAAGGGTTATATTCTTTTTTAATGTCAAATTGATGATGATATCAAGTGTTGCCAATGAAGAATGTTTACTTATTTGATCCCACTGTTAAGTTACAGCTGTAAAATTAGATTACATATTTTTATTTATTTTTTTGAATGACAATAAATTTTATGGAATGTTGAGTTATTGAGAGTCAAGTTTTTGGGACTCTACTGTATATTCTGAGATTTTAAAACTGGAACAGATCATTTGGTATATTTGTCAAGATTAGTATACTGACCATGTCTAATCTTAAAATTGTGAATTGCAAAGTTGCAAATTTTGGATTTTAAATAGTCATTAATTCTGTGATTTGTGTAATTGGTAGTTGGTGAAATACATCTAAATGTTATAAGTAATAGATATGTATATATATATATATCCATGGTGTGGTTTTATTGATATTCCTTTTAAAATCAATTTTTCAAAAATATTTCCTCAAAAAATTGATGAAAACTTCATGGGTTAATTCTACAGAAATAACCACCGTTTTTTTGCCTGGACCACATTTAATCAGAGACAATAGCTTATCTTCATATTCTTTATTTTCTTACTTACTATGCATTTCAGGTGCAATATTTTCGTATCACTTGCACCCCTCTTCAGTTTTTTTTACATTTCTGTTTTTAAGTTAAGATCCACAGTAAGCTATTGTCTCTGATTAAATGCGGTCCAGGCAAAAAAACGGTGGTTATTTCTGTAGAATTAACCCATGAAGTTTTCATCAATTTTTTGAGGAAATATTTTTGAAAAATTGATTTTAAAAGGAACATCTAAATGTATTTTCAGAAAGGATTTGAGACTTGACTTGTGTGTTGATCCATTTTTTTTCTTCAGAGACTTGAGATGCAACTCAAGAATTTTAAGAGATTCAATTGAGACTCATCACTTAAACTTTGAAACCAAGACTGATTTGAACTAATATGAGCACTGAGCAATATTCCTAATAATATTTATTAATGATGTGTAATGCATCTTGTGGACTACATACAATGACTTCTGATTCTTGTTTTGAACCTCAAATGTGAGACACAACTCTACTTGCACAAGTAAAAAGAAAGTGTGTCTTGGAATTGAGGAACTATTGTATTAGCTGTAAAAATCTAGAATTGTCATGTAACTCAAATAATAATAAATTCACAAAATTGTATTAGTTAAAATATAATTTGATAAAAATTGGGCTATATTTTAGTAGGTTCATTATTTTGTTTAATCCAAATTTGTTATTTGTTAAAAATGCATAGTAAATAAATATTTTTAAACTCCAAAATAATGATAACAATTATAAATGATGTTTAAAACAACAAAACATCACTCTCTCACACCACTTAAGTGTAGGATTTGTATTACCGGTAAATTGGTTTACTATTAAGTAGATAAAAAATATATCAGTAACTAGACCAGCAATTTGATATCTTTTATTAGTAAAGTTGGTAAAAAAAAATACATAGATATGTAATAAATTTTTAACGTTTATTTGTATACACTTTCATGTATATTTATATTTTTATTCATTAACAACGTAAGTGTCAAACATTTTTATTTAAACTATAAAAGTAGTTTTAGCCATTTATCTTTTAAATTATTACTTTACAGCTTTTACATATGCTGGACAGTTTGGCAATTTGTTTCTGAACTGTAACATTTAGAGCACAATAACAATTTTAGTTGACTAAGTAGAATATGTTTGTTTGAATTTGAGCTCTTATACTTCACACTTTTTACTTTCTTACCCCATCTATTGGGTCATCTTGAAGAAATACCTGTTTCACAAGCTAAAGCAACTAGCCACATCAGAAATTGACATGGACCATTTGCAGTCTCTAATTAAAAAGTTTAAACTGCCTGCCGACATAAGTGTCCTAGGGAAATTCCTCCTGGACCATGGACTGGACATTATGACTTGCATACCCATCATCCTGCCAATGACCCAGGCTCCAACATCTTCCTCCATCGATCTACCATCCCACAAGGTATAAACTACTACACCAATGGATCCAAATCTCCAGGTGCAGTAGGCACAGCTGTTATCCTTGATGACCCAACGAAGAAAACCTGGCAAGGTACCTATAGGCTGGATCCATCTTGCTCCATCAACCAAGCTGAGTTGCTAGCCATCCTTAACACCCTCAGATGTATCCAGGATAATATAACCAGTTACAACGGTAAAAACATCATCATCATCAGTGACAGTCGAGTTGCCCTTTACCAGATTCGTAAGTGTAACTGCCGTCTTCCCATAATAAACAATAGCTTAAAGAGCCTATACGAAATCTCAGATACTGTCAATATAAAATTTTACTGGATCAAGGGCCACTCAGGAAGCAGTGGCAATGACAAGGAGGACAATCTGGCCAAAAAGGCCTCCTCTTAATCCATGGTGTGTAGCTACTCCTCGATCCCCCTGTCCTGGGTTCAAGGTAAGCTGGACTCAATTCTAATGTTTTGCTGGCAGAAGGAGTGGGGTGAAAGCCTGACAGGATGTCTCACCCACAACTTTTTCCCCAGCATCCCTCATAGGATCAGCAACCACCATTTTATTACCAATTACATCATGAGTCAAATTCTAACAGCACACAGCAACTTCAGAGCCTATAGGTTCTTGAAGAAGGAGAATGGTTTGTGCTTCTGTTGTACTAACAAGAACGAAGATCCATTACACTTAATCTTCATCTGTCCAGTTCACTCACATTACTGTGCAAACCTTCATAAGACTATTGTGGGTATCCTTGGCCCTGTGAACTATACACCTTTATAGAGGACCAGATAATCTATCAAGAATTCAAGACCTTCGTGGAACACCCAAAACTAATGCACTATACCACTATCAGCCCAAGTGGCATCTAATGGACAGCTCATCTTCTGAGTCAACAGTGATCCCTCCCCCAAAAGGGACTCCTTACTGCTTCTTCTTAGTCCCATTCCCCCCAAAGGCAGCCTCATCTGTCCAACTCCTCAAGGTATTATGCTACGAGCCTTCTCCTTCCCTGTAAATACAAATTTTCTGCACGCATATACCATTGTATTTTCTAGTCATATCCAACAGTCCCCTTTGCAGTCATGTCCTCCTTTTTCCATTTTCAAATCTCCAACCATCCCACCTTCTTAACTTTTCCTCAAATCACTCTCCTTCCTTCCTTCACCGATCTTTCTTATCTTTTAAGGCTACGCCTTTGAGTACAGCCTTTTCTTTCACATGTATGTAAATAACCCTCTTCATTTGTAACAAATAAAAACCAGGACTTACGTAAAGCTTTCATTACAAATTTGTTGTGTTTTCTCTTCATTCAATGAAGTGTAGCTGTTAACAAAACAAACAATAATACTCATTAACAATCAGCCTGCACATTTATATTTACAAAACTATCTCAGCATTACTTAACTTTTTAATGTTTTGTTTTACAATTGAAAATTGAAATTGTTTTATAAATCCTTTTTCCATTCCTAGAAATCAGAATGTTTGTTTTAAAATTATCCACAGTTAATCTATTATCATAAGAATATTTTTGTAACAAATCTAACTTTTTTGCATTGAAATAGAATTCTTTGATTTAAGTACCAGTGAATTTAATCAAATCAAACCAGGTTAACATACTCCCACTATTCATAAATCTCTGTCAGGTCATTCAAACAGAGAACAAAATCAGGCTTAGAGGATTACCCCAAGGCAATTTGTTCTTAAATGTGAAGAATCGGTGAAATCCATCTGTATGAATTTGTGCATTGAGAACTGCATATATGAGTTTTAAAATATTTATGAACTTTTTCAATATATCTGTTTTAACTAGTTTATAGAATAAGATCATATCTGAGTGAATTGAATGCCTTATGAAAATTGATAGGTTACAACTAGCCTATTCTGTTTAAGTATTATAAAAAAAATTATATAAATTTCATAATGATTGATGAAACTTCTATATAATGTGTGTATATAACAGCTTAGTTTTTCATAATTATTACATATAGATTTCTTTACAATAGAGCGTCGATTATCTGAATCAATTGGGGGCTGGGATTGTTCAGAAAATCAATATTTCGGATAACCAATTATGTACGAAAAAATATATTAACCTATCGCATGTTGAAATTTTTCTCTGTTGCGTGTCACTTCGCGTTGAATTTTCGTTGATGTTAAGCCTAACGAAGACTATTGTATCATTAAAAATTATTTTTTTATTTTGTACAAACAAAATAAATATATTGAAAAATATAAAAACAATAAAAAATTATACTTCAGAAGTTAATTTAGTATCAAAAGCGTAAAATATTTGAGTAGCCCATGATATAGCCAAAGATTGCATCACCACAGCACTGGTGAAAATTTAAATTTGCCGACTGGAATTCTTTCGGATAATCGATGCTCTACTGTATTTACTTTAACATCATATTACTGATATTAAAATAATGTAAATTATCAAATTATTCTGATATTCTGTTATTAGAAACATAAATGCATTTGGTACAAAATGTAATATTGATTGTATTTATATGCTGTAAATTTAGAATTAATGAATTTATTTAATATCAATTATTTGTTAAAGAAATGTTTAATAAGCCATTAAAAAAATTTGCATTTTAAAAAGTGGTTATATTTTACTTTCAGGTTTGCTACTTCTCGACAAACTTTAACATGGGTTCCAGATTCATTCTTTACAAGGTAATATACATTATAAAGTTTCTAGTTAAATGTAGTATACATATATTTACTTTAAATTAGTGTTGCTAATTTTGAATTATTTGTCTAAAGGAATTTTTGGAATTCTTTTAAAAAAAGATATTGATTAATTTTCTTCCTACAGTTATTTTTTGTCATTATTGTTTAGCCAATGTGCTCATTCTTGCTTCGGCAGCCATTTCACCTTTTTCTTGGTCTTCCACTATCTCTCCCCCATTAGTTTATAGAGTAGCTCAGCCTCATATATATATATACAGTCGACCCCCCATAACACCGGTTCCTATAGTTCGGATTCCTATATCATGGCGAAAAAATTGTGACAGTATTCTTACAAACATGCTAAAAAAAAAAAAACGTATAATTTGGTAAAACGTCATCACCGACTTGTGTCACGACAGGATTGTTCGAATCTAGACCAATAGTGGATATTGTACAAACCATTGAGTTTAAACGAGCAGCGGACCTACTAAAAACCATTTATTATTTAACGTCCATAAAAATTATATTTATATTAATAATGTCTCCAAAGTTCAGTGAATTTTTCGCAAAAAAATAATTTATCAGGAAGCACGCGAGCGCCATTTGATGACAAGCTCCATGATGAAAACAAGCTTAAGCAATGGCGTGGTTGAACGGTGCACACTTGGTAAGTAATCCTACAATTTTTTGTTTATAGCATAGTTTATATGGATTATTCCCAAAAAATTATACGTATTTTGGAAAAGTTTGAGTTGAATTAGTCTAGAATCGGTTAATTTTATGGAAGAAACCTTTCGAACAGCCGTAGTCCATAAACTGCATACGTGCCAGGCTGTGATTGACTGGACTCGTAGAAAATGGATTCATAAAAACTGGAATGTATCTACCATGTTATAGGGGGTTCGACTGTATATATATATATATATATATTTTTATATTGTACCAACTAGGGCTAGGCATTTTAGTTGATTATAATCTTATCTTTAAGTAATTATAGTAGTAAGTAAAAAGTGAGAAACAGTATTTTAATAAATCAGATTATTTGATATAAATGATAAAGAACTGTTTTTCTTTAAATAATTATATTTCTTTAATGCACTTTTCTATGAAGAAAACATGATGCACATGATGCAATCAAATGCCACTTAATATGTTCTAATGTAAAAAAAAATCCATAATTCTGATGCAGAAATCTTTTACAGAAAACATCCTTTTTGACATCAACAGAAACTATTTGTGCATTAACAAATTTTGATCATTAGATTAACAATCAAATATTGGATCAATACTCTTAACTCAAAAACAAATTCTCCCATTAATATATATGAATACTGGACTATCTCTAACCTGTAATTTTGACTAGTATTTATTTAATCTTCTATTTATACTGGCCTTGTAGTTCAATTTTGAGTGTCTACATAAGTTTTTACAGCTTTAAGCACTTTCATATAACTTTCAAGTGTTCTTATTGTAGAAATTGAATCCATAAAATTAACTTTGAATAAGCACAAAAAAATTTCATCCTCAACAAAACTGAGCAATAATATAAAATTAAAAACACTAACATTCAGAGTCTCCCAGCAGATGAAAATCCAGAAAAATGAACCCTTTTAGTTCACTGAGAGCATTGTTTTTCTGGCAAACCATCACACTCTCAATATATGCAGGTGACAATAAAATTTGATATGATTTACATCAATCAAATATAATTAGGACAACTGCAAACAAGGAGCAACTCAAATTACTGGAGGCACTTGAAATTTTTTTAGTGGACATGCAGGGGCTGTGTATCAACTTTAAGGAGGAAAAACAGAATTTTCAGGAATTGCAGGCTCTATTTGATAAGTCATTATAAAACTACATTACAACATATACTCTGGACTCATCCTATGGTTGGTTTTAAATTTGAATTTATCTAAAGTTCTGCAACTTTCATTTTCAAACATTAAAGCCTGTGGCATTCTATTTCTGAAAATTATGACTTGAGGTAGGTCTTAAGAGTAGACCAAAAGCATTCATTTTTCTGGATTTCCGTCTGCCAGAAGAACCTGTTTTTTCAATTTTAACTGAATAGTTGTTTTGAAATATTTATTTCATTATTTTATAATGGGTCTCAAGGGAGTAACTTTTCTGCAAATTCTTCAGTAATTCCTTATATGCATTTGTAAAATGCATTTGATATTTTTAAGAACTTTATTCGTTTTGGATTTTTCTTAGAATCTTGCGGAACTGGTGATTATAGAATATTTAGAAAACATAATTAAAAAAGCATATCATAACATTTTGGCTTTTTAGGACAGACTATTAGATGGAAATTGTAGCAAATTTTTTTTGTCTTTTATTGTTCAAATTATCGGGCAAAGAAATTTTTATGGCATATTAGGAATACTTTAGTCCTGCTTTCTGTGTTCTATATTTGAATAAACATTAAATAAAGAATTTTAACGTAATGTAATATGCAGTTTTTAAGAATTAAAAATGAACTTTTACTTGAAAGGAAAAATTGTATGTTTAATAAAAATTAAAATAAGATTATTTTTGCAGCATGCTCAGTGGTCGGATTTCAACATTAAAAGACGAAACAGGAGCAGTAAGTAGCATTTGATTTGAATTTAGTTCAAATATATATTTAAACAAGTATTGAGAAAAACATTAAAATTAAAATTTGTTCATATACAATTATTTTATGCATTGTTTTTATTAAATGTCTAATTTTTTTGTGGTATAAGTATGTAAAGTATTTATTTTTAATTAATAATCTTTTCTCTTTAAACAATTTTTTAAATAATTTAATAAATTTTTCTTAAAGTAAGAATATCCTTGCATATAGTAGCATGGATTGCTCTGGATAATTTTAAAAAATAGCCAATCATTTTGCAATCAATCTTTTTGTCACTTCAAATTATTTATTGCCACCAGTTTTACTTACTAATTAATGCCAGTGATGGTAGCCTTATCACTTAAGCTGTCACTTAGGAATATGAATCAGTTTTGAATAATTTTAACTAATAATTCCAAATAACACATTTGATCACAATGCTTAAATAGTATTTTACAGGTTCTGTCTTATCAAAATTTTTTCACTTTAGCTAAAGCATGCTTTGTGATTCAATTTCACCCTGAATGTCAAAATAAGTGGTCTAAGGTTTTCTCACCAATATTATATTTTTATTATCACTTTAATAAAAATATCCCAAGTGGTGATTTTTGTACTATATAATGCAACCTTTGAATTAGCGAACTTTTTCTAAAAAAATTATCATTCAGATTTTAAAAGTTTTTTAGAAAGTAAATTAATTGAATAGGCTAAAGTGTGTTTTTGCAAGTGAAGTGCTTATTTATGTGATTACATAGTTTTTCTTATTACATTTATAGTTCTAAAGTTTGTAATTAGTAATTATTGTTGTAAATATCCAAATAAATAGAATTGTTATCAAATTTTAGATTACGAATTATTAGTTAATTTTAAATTTATAAAAAATTTTATTTTTTAAGCAGAAAATTTAAAATAGAACAGATATAAAATGAAAGTTTTAAATTCAATTTAAATCAATTATTAATTAAATGAAATGTTAAAAAATTAAAAATGCAAGTTTTAATTCAAATATATTTATTGATGATAATTAATAATTTAAAAATCAATCATTCTGTATTCTAATTCTTTTAAAAAGATTCTTTAAATTTCCTACAAAGATTGTATAAACAATGAGAATTTAGATTATTTATCTAAAGAATCAGAAAAATTTTAGTAAATATAAAAATTATCTAAGAACCTCGCGTACTAAACATTTTCTACTTCTTGATGTGTATTACAAATATTTTACTGGTTTTATCTATCAAGATTGGCTTTCACTCCAAATTCCATNTAAATTTCCGCTTGTGCTATGGCACTGCAATCTTTGGCTATGTCTTGGGCTACTCCAATATTATTTTTGTTGGTGTGCATATTTTAGCTGGCAGCACTGGCACGATCATGATAGAGTACTTAAGGACATGCCAGGATTTGAAAGAATTTCAACATGGGATAGGTTAATATATTTTTTCATATGTTATCTGAAAAATCGATTTTCTGAACAAACCCAGTCCCCAATTGATTCGGATAATCGATGCTCTACTGTAATAGTATTATAGTATTCTATAATACTATTGACTGACACATTTTAAATTGCTGCCAAAATTCAATGCAGGGAAGGAATATAGAAAAGTCATAAACCTTGTCATTTCTCTTTACAATAACATAGATGTTAATGAATAACAATATAATGTAATTATTGAAGAAATAAGTAAATTTTACAATGTAAAGTTCTTGTGAAAGTAACAAATTTTTTTTTCTGATGATAAAGAAAATAAATAGGAATAATAATAGTATATTATGCAATTAGTTTATAATATAGGTGATTATGACATGAATGGAAGTTTGGCGCATGAGTGGAGTGAGTGGACCAATTTTCATGAATGCCATAATCACTAATTATAAACAAATTGTCATTGGTATTTTGTAGTTAGACTACACCTATATGCATTCTTTTAACAAATGCATAATGTTTACTGTAACCTTCCTGTAAATAATTATAAAATTATTTGGAATTTTTCAGCTATTTGCTATTTACTTCATTATTATTTTTATATTACTATTACTAATTGCAATTAGTGTATTTTTCTAACTTTATTGTATTTTTTATTTTAACCTACATTTGAAAAATTTTGTTAAAAAATAGTAATAAGGGAAAGGGAAACCTTTTCAAAAATAAGTAAATGGTGCTTAAAATCAAAAAAGTGCAAACTATTTTACTATTTCTGGAAATAGATTTAAATCTTTTTTTGATTGTACTATATTATTCCTTATAGAAAAGTGAAATAATGTAGTCAATCTTTTCCTTCTACTCAAACATTTCTGTTAGTGAGGTCAATGTAGCTTTAGTACATTAGATTCTTTATTACATTTAGAATTCTGTATGCAAGACAATGAATTAGTGACAAAATGATGTTTTTTTCAATACAAATTATATAAACTGGTTTAATTATGAAAAACTTTTTATTAATTTTTTTTATTTATATACTGAAAAAATTTATATTATTTGTAGATATTCATTGACAGAGATCCAAAACTTTTTACTATAATACTCAACTTTATGAGAACAAAAGATATTGATTTGAGGTAACTATATTAATATATTGATATCACTTCCTTTTACTTTACTAGATTATTTAATAAGATTAAATTACAAATATTTTTCTATTAAATAATTTTTTAATTTAGTTTGTCTTTTGAATATACTGTTTACTCTATATTATATTTACTAGTATCAGGTTATTACAAAAGTTCTGTTGGTTTTTGAACTGCCACTTTGAGACATCATATCATTGCTAAAAATAAGATGATTTAATCGAAATAACCTCTATTACAGGCAATACATTTCTGTCATCAAGTTACAAGTGTATTTATATCATGTTTAAAAAATCTGGAGTTCTGGACTCAATGAATTGCTTGAAGGTAGAATTTTTTTTGAAGGAAACTGTTGAGATGCTTGAATAGATAGTAGTCTGTGGGGGAAAGGTCTGGTGAATAGGGTAGTTGAGGGAGAACTTCATATTCTAACTGGTTCAGTTTTTAGAGGGTGACTTATGACACATGATGATGTGCATTATCATGAAGTATGATAAGTACGCTTCAATTCACTAATACCAGCTGTATTTGAGACAACATCTAGTGGGCAATGTCCAATTCATGGCAGTACTTTTCTGCTGTAATTGTTTTGCCAGTTTTAAAGAAATTATACTAAATAACACCAGTTTCACACCATCAGACAGTCATCATGATTTTTGGGTGGGGACTGGGCTTTGGCATGTATTTTGGTGTTTTTTCTCCATCACACCACTGTGTTGATTGCTTGTGGTTGTCATATCAAATCCATTTTTCATCACAAGTTATGATTTGGCTGAGAAATGGATCATTCTTGTTGCATATGATCAGAAATGAGCAGCTCTCCAGGCAAATACTTTGTTGTCTTTCATTAAGTTCGTGGGGTATCCAATTTTCAAGTTTTTCCACCTTACCCATTGTGTCTAGATGCTAAGAAACAGTTCCAATGCTTATGATAAGCTCTTTCGCAATTTCTCTTATGGTTTTTCTGGATTAGCTTCAACTGAAGCTTTCAGTCAGTCATCATTACCATTGAACAGACGTCCACTACAGTCTTTATCATTAAGGTTCATATCATCAGATCAAAACTTTCCAAACCAACATTGTACTGTGCATTAATTACAGTAGTGGTTTTGTCATCTTATGCTTTATTAATTTACAAGTTGCTTTTTGACCAAATTTGAACTCATGGAGAAGGATTGCATAAATACCTTCTTATCCATCTTTCACTCAAAATCCTGAAAACAGAAAGATACATTAAATTTTTGAGAAGATAAGTGTTGTGTAATACGAATAGAAACTTGCACTACTAAACAGTATATAACTTGTCTGCATGCACCACCACAGTCATGCTAAAAATTAACTTAAAAGTAACACATACAAAAGTTCTGTCGGACTTTTTATAACAACCTGATATAAGAGTAATACATATACAGTAGAGCATCGATTACCCAAATGCTGATCAACCAAAACATCAATTAACCGAAAGCTTTCCAGTCAGCAAATTTAAATTTCTGCTAGTGCTATGGCACTGCAATCTTTGGCTATGTCTTGGGCTACTCCAATATTATTTTTGTTGGTGTGCATATTTTAGCTGGCAGCACTGGCACGATCATGATAGAGTACTTAAGGACATGCCAGGATTTGAAAGAATTTCAACATGGGATAGGTTAATATATTTTTTCATATGTTATCTGAAAAATCGATTTTCTGAACAAACCCAGTCCCCAATTGATTCGGATAATCGATGCTCTACTGTAATAGTATTATAGTATTCTATAATACTATTGACTGACACATTTTAAATTGCTGCCAAAATTCAATGCAGGGAAGGAATATAGAAAAGTCATAAACCTTGTCATTTCTCTTTACAATAACATAGATGTTAATGAATAACAATATAATGTAATTATTGAAGAAATAAGTAAATTTTACAATGTAAAGTTCTTGTGAAAGTAACAAATTTTTTTTTCTGATGATAAAGAAAATAAATAGGAATAATAATAGTATATTATGCAATTAGTTTATAATATAGGTGATTATGACATGAATGGAAGTTTGGCGCATGAGTGGAGTGAGTGGACCAATTTTCATGAATGCCATAATCACTAATTATAAACAAATTGTCATTGGTATTTTGTAGTTAGACTACACCTATAACACTATACTTATGGAAATCAAAATTGTTTAAACACAGCATTTGTGTCAACTGTGCCATAAACAATGTGTTTATACATGATTTTGAGTTCAATAAGTATAGTGTTATAGGTGTAGTCTACCACAAAATATATGTTATGTAATAAATTTTTCATATTGTTTTTAAAACAATTACTAATTATAAAAAGTTACTATTTTTTACCTATATGCTATAAGTGATGAAACTTTTTCTAATAAGGCACAAAAAGAATTAATTAAAAATTAGAATGATAATATTTTCAATAATATGCAAACATTAGTGTATCTAAATACTGTTTTGATTAAAATTATCATATTACTATTAAATGTTAGACTTTGAATGTATTCAAACTTCTCACTAAACTTTCACAAGCAAAAAATTTATGCAGTAAATTTATTTAATAATCTGCATTATCTTAGGTAGTTCATTAATTAAGTTATATTATTTAGTAAATTAACTAAACATTATTTAGTAATGTTAAAACTTTCAGAATTTAGAGTCATTTACAATTAAATTTAAAAATTAAATAAAACTAGCACAAGATGTTCTAGTTATCAAAAGCTTTCTGAAAAGTTTGAGATAATAAAAAGTCTACTATTAATTGGTTAATAACTTATAACATTTTTAAAATCAAAAAATAATTTTTGCTTTTCTTATTGTTATAACTAACTATGATTTATTTAGTAATTAAGAATTTTATTTTATTTTTTTTCTTTAGAGATGTTGATGTTGCAATTCTTAGACATGAAGCTGAATTCTATGGAATTGCTCCACTTGGTAATTAGTTTTGAAACTTTACTAACAATTAGTAATTTTTAATTATCCTTTAACCATGTATTGCTTTCTTGTAAATTATTTTATCATTTTAATAAAATGGGCAAGACATGATTGTGTGCATCTAACAGAAAATAGGTGCAAGAAACAAACAAAAAACAATTTACACCCATTGTTTGTTCTTGGATTACCCATCCATTCTTGGAAAATATAATGCAAGGATTGCCTCTTTTTTCCTGACTCCATCACAATTCAATTGTAAAAGTCAAACAATATTCTAGGTTGTCCTTATTGTCTATACTTTGTCCTCAAAACATAATAGTTTTATGGAAAAGTTAACCTTTAATTAATATATATTTTTATCATTTAGTCATTCAGAAAGAAGAAACTTTTTTTTTTAAATATTGAGGCAGATGAGTAGTTTCTAATTTAAGGTTGACTCCATTGTAAAACTTAATTTCCTGAGATGTTTAACAAGGACAGGTGATGTTTAAGAAAGATGTTTAACAAGTGATAATCACTATGTGATTATCACTTGTTAAACATCTTTCACATAGTGAAAGATAATCACTATGTGACTATCACCTGTTTGACCTTTTGAAGGAAGATTTGAAAACAGGCAATTTCACCCAGAATGCTAAAGTCTCTCAGACTTCAACATGGCAAACTCTGAAAATAGACAGCTTATCATGCAGTGGCTCTGATATTAGTCAAAAAACTTTGTTCTGCAGGTAATGGGAGAACTTCTCTCATTACCTTGACAATGATGTAAAGGGTGGAGTACCAAAGGAAAGAATCATAAATTGAGATTATATAACACACACAGTTTAATTGCTGTTACTGAAATTCTGGACAGAAGTTGAACTGTCCTTGTATATTCAGTTTCTCATATATAAAAAGAAAGAATATTTAGCAAATTGAAAAATTAAGCATCAAAAAATTATTTAATTTCTCATATCCCCTTAATTACAGTTACACATTTCAATTTTTCCCCCTTTCAGATTTAAGTCAGATTTATTGTGCATGTTGTTTATTTCTTATATAACAATACTTATGCATACCATACATATAATTTATAGATACTAAATTTAGTGTTTTTATAGATTTCATATTTACATTATTATAATAGAGGTCAACCATAACTAATGTAGCATTATTAGGACTTGTAGGGTGCCAGATTAGTGATTTTTGCTTAATCACAGATATTGGTTAGGATAGAATACACATAACCCAACAGCTAACCACCTCATCCTACGTTTTAAAATACTTCCTGAATCAGTACAATAAAGAAAAAGAAACATTAAATGAAAATCTTTATGAAATTATTGTACAAGTAATACTTTCTAGTGTTAGAGAATAATTCAATTAGGAGAATGAAATAAAAAGATCATTAATACATGTTAAGAATTTCTAAATATTGATTTGGAAAGGATAATAATTTTTAAATTTCTCAAATGTATTTACTCTTTAATTAATAGATTTAATTTTATTATAATTGTAAAGTTTTTTGTTACAAATGGTGATAATTTGAAGTAAATTACAATTACTATTCAATTTTGGTTCATTTTAATATTTTATTTTTCAGTTAAGCGTCTAATTTTATGTGAAGATCTAAATCATTCTTCTTGTGGAGATGTTCTATTCCATGGTTATTTGCATCCTGCAGGTAAAGTTTTAAATAATCTTTAATTAGTTTTAATTTTAATTAAGAATTTTATAATAATTTTTTACCTTTAATATCATTTTATGCATCTGATTTAATCTGTTTTTCTATATGCAAAAGTATATTCACAAAGCAAATTATACATTATACACAATTATTCTGATACAAGAGCTGAAATTTCTAAAATGATAGCTTAGACAGGATTTTAACTATATTTTGTATTTTTAGTTACACTCTATGTCAACTTTTAACATTGTTTCTGTAGAACTGATAAATGTAGGAATATTAAAAGAAAACAAATTTATGCTATAGTTTAAATAAATTTTGACAACTTGCTGAATTAACATTTATGCATAATTAAAAAATTCTTTTATCAGAACTGAAGCTAAGTTTTTTGTTATAATGTTTTTAAAATTTTTACAGCTAAAAAGGTGTTGTTTTTTTCCCCTTCCTTTCTTTGTTTAAAGTTTTCTTTATTGAGCTGCAACTTTCAAATTGCAGACCCATATGGTCCCATTGTTATCCATCTGTCTGATGAATGCCATAATCACTAATTATAAACAAATTGTCATTGGTATTTTGTAGTTAGACTACACCTATAACACTATACTTATGGAAATCAAAATTGTTTAAACACAGCATTTGTGTCAACTGTGCCATAAACAATGTGTTTATACATGATTTTGAGTTCAATAAGTATAGTGTTATAGGTGTAGTCTACCACAAAATATATGTTATGTAATAAATTTTTCATATTGTTTTTAAAACAATTACTAATTATAAAAAGTTACTATTTTTTACCTATATGCTATAAGTGATGAAACTTTTTCTAATAAGGCACAAAAAGAATTAATTAAAAATTAGAATGATAATATTTTCAATAATATGCAAACATTAGTGTATCTAAATACTGTTTTGATTAAAATTATCATATTACTATTAAATGTTAGACTTTGAATGTATTCAAACTTCTCACTAAACTTTCACAAGCAAAAAATTTATGCAGTAAATTTATTTAATAATCTGCATTATCTTAGGTAGTTCATTAATTAAGTTATATTATTTAGTAANATGTATTTATTAAAACAATCATGGTGAGACACTACTAAAATTGAGATCAGATATGGAAAGCTTAGGGACTAAAGACTAATTAACTATATGAGAACTTCTGTCCAGACCAGAAGTCATGTGCTTTTTTTAAATTAAAAGATGATTAAAAATTGCAGTCTGGCATTATGATAATGCAACAATAAATAATTGTTCATTTTTTAATGTATTTAACTAAATTTGCATATACATATATTTAAAATAGTGACACCTAAACTGATGTAATTTGCAAATTTTATATACACAAATGCTAAATCTTGTGATAGATCTATTGCTACTAAGATACTAATTACTTCAAATTAATTAATTAATCACAAGTTACATTTATTTTTATTTTTAATACAATTACATCCTTTATCATAATTTCATGACTTTTAGTTTTAAAAAATATATATCAAAATTAACTTTTCCAGTGAAATAAAAAAGTAATATTTTCAGGAATACCCTCTGTTGATCCATCCATTGCAGTTTCTAGATGTAATGTTATAAATGAAAAAACTGACAGTGCTATTTCCCAACAAGATAGTGAAAATACACCAAGTACAAGTAATGTTGGTATTCAAATGGGACAAGAAGCACGACCAGGAACTGTTCTTAGAGTTGTCACAGAAACTGCATCACCTCAAAGAAATACATCAAGTCATTCAAGAAATCCTTCTCTAGATAAAAGATTTCCACCAGTTCCACTTTCTCGTAGTTCATCTGATCTTCGAAATATTGGACGAGGTCATTCCAGAGCTTCCTCTCTTGACTTAAGACATTCCCGCAACTCATCAGCTGATCTCACAAAAAATATGAAAATGGATCTAGGACTATATTTTAATACACAAGGTAATTATTGCAAAAAATAAAATATGTTAAAATAACAAAACCTTTTTATAACTTTTTTACTATATAGTGTATAAAAACATTACAAAATGGAAAATGGTTTATTCCATGTCAATGTTTTTTTTCTAATGTGTCATATCATATTTTATAAACATAACTATCATTTAAAACTTATGTTCTTGATTCAATTTTTTTCTTTTTTGAATATTTTAAGTATTTAGTTTATTACTTCTGAAATTATATGTTTATTTCTGAGTATATAATTTTAAACGATAGTAGTTTATTAATTTGGCATCTATGGTACCAGAACAAAGCAGATTATCAGAAATGCCTGAATTACATGATATTTTTGTATTTCCACATTGCAGATATTATTGTAAATTTTGTACCAACTATGCTTCTAATTTGTTTATGCACTCTTTAATCAATATGTAGATGATACAATGCATGACTATACTCTATTAACCTTTTTGATAAGTACTACCATAAACCTACACAATACATGTGATGGGCTCTTTAGAGTAAGCATGTATACATACATTCTAATTTATACAATTAGTCAATCAATTATCAACATGTTTATAATCCTTATTTCTAGGATTGTATAAAATGGGATGTTTTTCTACTTCTGTAATTAGATTATTATTATTCAACGTGAATTCCTCCATTTTTTCTTCTTTCTTTTGTTTCTTTGCCTGCATGAAATGATGGGACAATTTTGATTGGCTGAATGTAAGATTTTTTTCATTAAAATCAACTTGGGATTGATTTCAACATAAAGACATTGTTGCCTCTGAGTGCTTCGTGGCATATAACAATGTCAAATTAAGTCATTTACATTGTGTCTCTGAATGCTCCTTTAGAATGATCTTAAAAACATTTAAATAATTTTAATTTTATCTTTAATATACAGAGTGATCTTAGAGTTTCCCTAGTTATGAACATTTATGTAAAAGCTATACTAAGTAGGAACATGCAGTTTTTGGCATAATTTAGACTGATTCTACAATCTTTGGTATCAATTTGATACTGAGGGGATTGCAGTGCCACAAACTGCTTAGTCTATGTAACATTACAGGAAAAACTCTAAATTATGTCAAAAATTGTGTTTTTCCTAGTATAGTTTTTTGATAAATGGTTGTAATCAGAGACTTTGACCACTTTCTATGTGAAATATTTTACTTAAATCATTGATATAATTTCTAAAACTAAAAGAATATGATTTAAGAAATATTAGCAAATTTAGCAAGTTTTTTTATATCTTCATTTAATTACAAACCGTTCTTAGGCCCAAATTGCTGGACAGATCCATTAAGAGTTCGAATAGTGAAGGGTCATCACAACTGGATTGCTGTTGCATATGCTCATTTTGTTACTTGTTACAGGTATGAAATTAATTTTGATTGTTGTTGATATTTTAAATTTAATATTTCTAACATTCTTTATAATTATATTTTACAATAATTAACATTTTTATTATCATGCATGTTGCTGTGGTATCTCTGAAGATGGGTCAGGTAAGATTAATTTATTAACAAACATATACAATAAGGATTTTGGTTATATATATATATATATTTTTTTAATTTTTATATTTATGTGAACAGTTTTAAATAAATATTAGGAAAATTTTTGAGTGTATAATTTCAAAAGATCACTTTACTTCATTGATTTATTTTTATTAAAACTATTTTTTATTTTTGACTTTCAGATCTAAATCCATGATTATTACATACTACATAACATTAGATATTCATATTCTTGTGTAAAATTATTTCTGGAATATTAATATATAATTGTATTGTTTATAAATTTTTTTAATCACAATCGTTAAAAATGATTAGTTCATTGTTTGCATGTTTGGAGACTACAGAGAATTCTATTTTATGTTAATTGTTTCCTTAAAAAATGGTTATAAAAATTCCATGTTTGAATTTTACTTTAGTAGAGATGGGTGAATATCATTTATCAAATTTACATATTAACCAGATCTCAAATATATAGTGAATCCAATTACCTTATATAACTTATTTAGTTAATAATTTTATTTAACATTTATTATTTAACTTGTTTCATTTATTTCTTTATAATAATAAATTGATAAAGTAAAACAAAAAGTAAAAGAAAAACAATTTACTAAAGTCTAAGAAACGAAACTTCAAATTTTATTCTGACTTTGAGTTTTACAGTATCTTCTTTTTAATATTGTTATTTTAACTACAGTAGATTAATCAATGGTCTCATATTTACTTACTGCAGAATTTTATTTATGAAAAGAAGCATTTGAACACATTCAGGATCTAGTTTGCTTCTTTTCTTATGGCAAATTAAACCAGAGGTGCTTAACACAGAATTGCCAGATTGGGGTTTTTTCCCAAACTGTAACTTTTCAAGTCAACTGGGAAATTTTATATTCTTGAAGGAGGAAATTGGAAAATATATAAATTTTATATTTAACAATAATTTAACTTATTATTATATTAAAACTTAGTTGTTTTTAAACTTTTGTACCGCATCTCATGTATTTATTTAACTTGCCTAAATGAAAAAAATTCCAATTAAGCATGTTAAATATCTGTAGTTCTATTAGGACGCTATTATATGATTTTATAACATCCTAATTAAAGATATTAAGAAAGTAAGAAGTGTGACCATATTAACTTTGCCTTTAATTCTGCTCATTTATTGTGTATACTTGTTTTATTTTTTAAAAAAAATTTTTTTGTTCCATTGTAATAAAAAAAAAATTTAAGCAAAAGAGTATTATTAAACTATTTAGAATAATTAGTATTTCAAAAACATAAATTATTCCTTAATTTTCAAAATAATTATTAATGAATAATAACGCTCTTATTAAATAAATCAATTAGAATTGTTTCATTGGTTATTTAATGTGAATATGCAAAACGTTGAACTTTTACAGAAAAGTTTTAAATATAATTTTTTAACTTAAATGTTATTTAACATGGATATGTTACACTTTAATTAGCATTTAACTTCACTTGTACATAATTGTACATTTTTCATTAACATTTAACTTCAGTTTATAAAGTTTAATGGTGGAAAAGTATATAAACATACACAGTTGTAAACAAGTCAAGTATATAATTCTTAATACAGGAAATCCTTGTTAGTTTGAAATTCAAGGGATGAAATAATCACAACTTTGAATTTTTGGGTTTTGAATTTTCCAAGATTTACATATTTCTGCAAAATATGCTACATGCTGTATTCGATTTAATGATGTAAAAAAATATAACACATGTAATTTATTAATACAGATGTGTTTACAGAATGGTATTTTCATTAATTATTAATATCAATAAATAAACTGCAGGTAAACAACACATGTCCAGTGAGAACCTCAAAGGTTGCTGGATAGGTTTTTATAAAAAGTAAAGCAGAATTCCTCAAAATGTAGCGCACAGTATTTTTAAAGTGGTCCAAAGGTTGTAGCCTAAAGCCCTACAAGTATCAGTCTGTTACTTGTAGCCCAAATTTGCAATCGTGAAATCCAGCCATGTTTTATGACATAAGAGTAAAAAGGGTAGTCCATGGGTAAGGTGACATCCAAAAATGTGTTACTGTAAAAGTAAAGCAATGCTGATCAGATTAGAGTTGTTCTTGGTCTATTGTTCTCTTATAGTATGAAGGCATTTTGATCTAAACGAGCGAGATAACGTGCATTTCACAGTTCGGACAGAATTTTCACTTCAAATTTTGAAGTAGCTGTATTCTCAACTAACTGACATTCCTTAACAAGTAATTCTCAATATCCTCAGCCAGGACAAACAGTATAGTTATGAACTAACAGGATTTCAAACTATATGAGTTTGAATTAATGAGGATTTCCAGTATATCATCATCAACTAAAAAATTGGAAATGCTTGCATTTATTACTCAGACTTTAAAGTTATAATAAAGTGGGTGAAATTTAAGAATTTTTATATTCTTGCAGTATATTTAAAGCATGCAAATTTGGTTTATGATGATCATACTATGTATAGAAAGAAGCAAAAGGAAAAATTTGACAATCATATTAGGATTTTAAAATGAAATAATATAAAATACAATTCTATGTATATTTTTCTTTCATCCAATCAATTTATGCAATATTAGTTATCACATATTTTCAAATTATGAGTAGACCAAATCATTGTGAAAAATCAATAAATAACTCTGAAAAATATTTTAGTAAAAAGTTCCAAGTTCTGAGAATATTAAAATTGTAACTGTAATATTGATGTTATTGTAGGGAATTTTTTGATAAAATTCTGTAATATGGGGAAATTTTGCAAACACTGGAAATAATTAACTATTTATTTGGCAACTCTGGATGAAGAGGTGTATTTAAGGGCAATATTAGAGGGTTCTTAGTATTCAAAATTTTTTTATCAACAAGATATTCAAAGATCTCAAATACTTCCTAGTATTTGAGTATTCATAGATAGTATTCACCTATCTCTACAGTTTCCATAGAATAAAATACATTAGAGCACTGTTTATATACCTTAAGAGACTGAACCAAAAAGATAAATCTGAGTTTTGTCTTCATAGTTATATAAGTTAAGATGCATTACAAATATTATAGCTTTCAACAAATATTTTAATGTTTATCATCTTTTATTTTATATATGTAAGAAATAGAGCAATTAAGGAAGGAACAGACAATTATGATAAAAATAATAAAAATTATAAACTCCACTTCTCTACCTATTTAAAGAAAATCTATCTATTAAAGAAAAATATAAAACATAAAAATTGAAAAATGTAAACCACAATTTCCACATTAATCTTAACATTCAATATTAAACAACTTGAATAATGAGTGCCAAAACTTAGAACTGAATAAATCCAATTTCCATCTTAAGCAAGTATAGAGTGTTGCCAGTTTTTAAATAGATATATTTTGAACTATATTAGATTTGTTCAAAGGAATTTTAAATCTAAAATAGTTCCTAGTAAATAGAGGTACTTGCAGATATAATTGTTCTAAAAAACAGGAGCTTCAATTTCATATTGTAACAGAGACCTTAAAAACTACATACATTGAATATTACAATGTGTCATTAAAGGTGGGAAATGCATTACATCCTCTTCTTGATTTAACATGAATTTCCTTTTACAATATCTTCTAATATGGTTATTAACTATTTCTACTCTGTGTTCAACTGTCATTTGCTGTCTATTCCAGATCACAAATAAAATCTGTGAGCAGAGAAGAGCTGAATACAAATTTTTAGTACAGTTATTTCTGGACCGTGTCTCAAAAATCTAAAAATTATTCTCAAAATTCTAATAACAATTGTAGTTATCTTTTACACATGTATTACAAAGAAAAATATATTATTAAAATATACTTCCAGATTTCTAATGTTTTCAACTCTGGATATCTCATATCTCTGTTATAGTAAACTGTAAAAAATCTAGGAATATAACTTGACAACATAACCTTACATTTGTTATAATTCACATTTAAACAGTGAAGTTTTAGCCAATCATTTACACTATCAACAGCCCTCTGCAATAATATAATCTTATAATCATTGCATATATTGAGATAGAAAGCTGATTAACAACCTTGAAAAGATCATTAAAAAGGTAATGGGCAAAAGCAGTCCTAATTGAAAACCTTGTGGAACTCCTTGACAAAGATGGAATGTTCCAAAAGATGATTTTACTTGTGTAATATTACTTGTAAATATGATGAAAACCATGCTACTATATGATCATGTAGTTCAAGATCTCTTAATTTCTGTTGCAGCTGACCATAAGGGACTGTATCAAAAGCCTTTGATAGGTCTAAATATACTATATCAACAAATGGGCAGATAGTACTTGAATTAAATGACTCCTCAGATATCATTACACACTGATGCATCAAGGATTGAACTTTGACATTTCATAATGCATAAAATATCTTGTTTTCAAGATTCAAATTTTTCTGGAAATATATTTGTTATCCTCTTTAATAGTCTAATTTTAAAAACATATAAATAAAAAAAATATATCTAGGTTAATGATGATAATGAGTAATATTTTGAAATTTAAGATTAATTGGAAATAAAGCTTTTGTTTTAAACCTAAATTTTCCTAGTTCAGTTATTTACAAGTTACCCATAGATGATTAAGTAAAATGTATATAATGTTCTGAAAGATAAGTTTGTAAATTATTGAGACTCAACAAATGTCAACTCAATAACCTCCTTATAAACTAAGTTAACATTGCACTTATATGTTGTTTACTTTTTTGTAATGTTGCTTACAGTATGTATAATATATATGCATAACCTACAGCCTATAAAATGGATGATCAGTTAATGAACAAATCGGATAACGAACACTTTCGCTAAAGATTTTTATGATTGGACAATGAACACGTGTTTGGATAATGAACACTTCACTGAACAAACATAAAAAGAAGTGACGAAAATAGCAAATACCGATTGATTTTCCCTTGTCTTCAGGCAACAATTCGAAACTTTTCAGAGCGCTGGAGATGTCAACATAGATGCTC